TTGTGAAGAATTTCAAGCCCACAGAAACGTCGCGACGGTTATGTGGTGCAGAGACCAGAGCATCTGGTCTGCATTTGGTCCCCAGAACAGCAGCATCGGCACCTCAGCACCGCATGGGAATGTGCTAGAAATGCAGGCTCTTGGACGCCACCCCAGACCCACAGAACCAAAAGGTCAGGGGCCCAGGACCTGTGTTTCCAGCAGCCCTCCAGGGTTCAATCCTGCACTCGAGTTTGAGAACTGCTTACACACCATTGCTTACACTTTACTGCCAAAAACATCTCAGCCTACTTCCTTCACCTATTGCCTTAAAATAGCTACAGTAAATCACAGATGCCGTGACTCTTCAGCCCTAAATGTCATTTATACTTAAGTTTGTTCGAATCAACTCCCTCCCTCCCCCTCCCATTCTCCGTTGTTTAACCGGACCTGCCATTTCTAAACATTGTCCCCTGGGAGGCACTCAGAGCATAAGCTTCCTCCTTGGCTCCAGCGACAGTGTCAGAGTGGCAGCTCGTGCTCATTTATTGATGAGCCTATTTTCTTGTCGTAAAATATACATGACGTGAAATTCACCATTTTGAATATTTTAAAGTGCATTGGTGTTTCGTATGCTCATAATGTTTTGCGACCAATTACCTCTTTCTGGTTCCAGAACATTTTCTTCACCCCCAAAGGAGATCCCATACCCATGAGCAGGCAGGCACTCTCCCCCCCTCCTTCCCCAGCACCTGACAGACACCAGTCTGCTTTCTGTCTTGGAGATTTGCCTATTTCAGACATTTCATGTAAACAGAATCATACAACATCAGACTCATTTTTAAATAAAACCTTTTGCGGGGGGGGTTGCCTGGGTGGTTCAGTCAGTTAAGTCTCCAAGTGTTCAGGTCATGTTCTTATGGTTCCTGGGTTAGAACCCCGCGTCAGGCTCAGCTCGGAGCCTGGAGCCTGCTTCGGATTCTGTCTCCCTCTCTCTCTGCCCCTCCCTCACTCATGCTCGCTCTCTCGCTCTCTCTCTCTCAAAAATAAAACTTTTAATATTTTAATTAAGAATCCAAAGGAAAAAAACCTACAAGTTGAACAACTACAGGAAATGCACACATTATCAGCACAGAGCTTGATGAATTCTCCCAAAGGGAACCCACTAGTGTAAGCAACACTTGGATCCAGGAACAGGGCACCTCTGGCACCCAGGGGTCCTAATCGCGTCTCCTTCCCAGCAGCAGCTCATCCTGATTTCTCTGTCATTGGGTCACCCCATTTACAAAAAAATTTAATGTTTATTTTTGAAAGAGAGACAGACAGATAGAGCGTTACAGGGGGTCAGGGGCAGAGAGACAGGGAGACACAGAATCTGAAGCAGGCTCCAGGCTCTGAGCTGTCAGCACAGAGCCCGATGTGGGGCTCAAACCCATGAACCGTGAGATCATGACCTGAGTTCAAGTCGGATGCTTAACCGGCTGAGCCACCCAGACACTCCTGGGTCACCCTGTCCTTGAACTTTAAATGGAATCGTGCAGCTACTAATTTTGAGCCTCACTGCTTTTGCTCAACAGTATGCTTGTGCAGTAGTCTCCTAGAACCGCCGTAATCAAGCACCACAGCCTGAGTGGCTGGAATAACAAGAAATTTACTTTTCACGGTTCTTGAGGCCCCAGTGCGAGATCAGGTGCTGGCAGGCTGCGGCCTCTCTCCTTGGTTTGTACGTGGCCTGTGCCTTCACGTGGTCCTCCCTCGGTGGGTCCTAATCTCCCACTGGATTAGAGACCGCCCTCACCAGGTCATTTTAACTTAATCACCTCTTTAAAGGCCCCATCTCCGGGGCGCCTGGGTGGCTTAGTTCGTTAAGCGTCCGACTTTCCGACTTTCGCTTAGGTCACGATCTCGCGGTTCGTGGGTTCGAGCCCCGCGTCGGGCTCTGTGCTGACTGCCAGCTCTGAGCCTGGAGCCTGTTTCAGAGTCTGTGACTCCCTCTCTCTCTGACCCTCCCCTGCTCACGCCGTCTCTCTCTCTCCTAGAAATAAATAAAACATTTAAAATAAATAAATAAATAAATAAATAAAGGCCCCATCTCCAAAGACAATTACATTCTAAGGTACTGGGGGTTGAAACTCCAACATACGAATTTTCGCAGGACATTACTGAGCGCATCACAGTTACCTCCATCCATACAGTCGTGAGGGGTAGGAATGGTGGGGGTGGGGGAGGCCAGTGCAGTGGCTACCGTGGTCATCCAGCTGGGAAATGCTGGGGACTTGAACCAAGAACTGGTGGAGCTGCAGAGATGGGCAGATTCAAGGGCTCTGCATGAATTCTCAGGAGGTAGATTTCACAGGGCATCACTGTTACAGTGGGCATACCCGCCCGAGCTCACAGTGCGCCTTTGTGAGAGAAACATTTTTTAAGGCATCCTTTCCCTCCGACATTTTTTTCTTTTGTTTAAGTTTACTTTTTGAGAGGGAGAGTGAGGATGGGGTGGGTGGTGGTGGTAGGGGTGGGGTAGAGAGAGAGCGAATCTCAAGCAAGCTCCACACTGTCAGTACAGAGCCAGAAGCAAGGGCTCAAACTCACTAACTGAGAGACCATGACGTGAGTTGAAATCAAGAGTTAGATGCTTAACCAGCGAGCTACCGAGGCATCCCCGTTTTATACTTTTATACGTTGGGATGTGGCCATGACAAATCTAAATGTCAAAAATGTGCATTATGTGGGGGCGCCTGGGTGGCTCAGTTGGTTGAGTGTCTGACTTCGGCTCAGGTCATGATCTCACAGTTTGTGAGTTCGAGCCCCGTGTCGGGCTCTGTGCTGACAGCTCAGAGCCTGGAGCTGCTTCAGATTCTGTGTCTCCCTCCCTCTCTGCCCCTCCCCTGCCTGCGCTCTGTCTCTGTCTTTCCAAAATAAATAAATATTAAAAAAATGTTTTTTAAATGTGCTGAACTGGATGTGCTGCCTTGTGCAGTACACAAACCTCACAGCTGTTCAGGGCTCCCCTATGAATAGGAGTAGAGAAACTGAATTGTCAGACTCAAGAAAATGGACCCAGGGGCAGGGAGACTACCACAGAGGAAAAAATATGGAGAAGAAGAGAAGAGAAAAACCGTTCCTGGGAGGGCGGACAGGAGGCAAATGCTTCACGGCCGCACAGCTAATACGTCTGTCTCTCTGCAGGCAGTTTGCCAACATTGAGGCTGCCACCCAGCGCCTGGCCCTGTCTATCCTGTCCCAGAAGGCACCTCCCCAGAGACCGCCGCCCCGAAGGCCGCCCCCGCCGCCCCCATCCCCCTTCTTGGGGGTGGCCTGTGCTGTGGCCCCCACGGAGGCGCCCTGTGCCAGCCCCGGTCCGAGCCTCGCCGCCCTGGATGCCTCCACCCTTGACCTCTTTGATGACATCGCCCTCACCCCAGAGCGTGCCTCAGTGCCGACTGGCCTCTCCCCCTGTGCTCGGGGCCAGCCACACCTGAGGCCGGCCTCCCACTTCTATAACCCCCTGCCCCCTACCCCGAAGGCCCTGGAGGGAGTGGATGGGCTCTGGACTCCTGAGGGGGATTGCGTGCGCAGCTGGGAGGCGCCTTGTGCCTGTCATTGTCAGGGAGTCCCTGAGGCCTGGGGGACCTGCTCGCCATGACAGTTAACCACAACCCAGCCTCCCCCGGGACACATCAGAGGCCCCTTCATGACAGCTCAGCAGACGCCCCGAGGAACCCCTTGTCCATCCATGCCCCTCCTGGCAGCCCATGGGGACGTGACCCAAGCCCAGACCCCCACCTATGACCACGGCCTCACAGGTCTTCTCCCTGGCGCAGGTCCCCCATTTCTGCCTCTGCCAGAGGTGCCCCTCACACTCTCCCACACCCAACTTCTCCCTTCTTTTCCCCCAGCCCTATCTCCTCAGTGTCTGCTGCTCCAGCTCCCTCTCACTTTGGCTTATCTCTGCCTAGTGTCGAGTCTCGTCTCACTTATTCCCAAATACGTACTGAGCACCTACTATGTGTCAGGCCCCATCTAGGTGCTGAGGATTCAGCAGTGAATAAACAGACAGGGTGTCTGCATTTCATGGGGCTGGGGGGTTGGGCACATGTAGGGGTGACTGTAAATGAATATGTTGGTACATTTTTAAAATGCAAGATAAACTTCCCGTTTCAGACTGGAGTTAGTGCTGTGAAGAAAATAAAGCAGAGACTTGATGGAGTGGCTGTCTGAAATCTGGGGGTCACGGAAAGTCTTGAATGACAACAAGGAGCTGGCTGAGCAAAGGCCTGGGGTTCTGGGCAGAGGCGACAACATGTGCAAAGGCCCCGAGGTGGCTGAAGCAGAGTGAGCAGGGAGATCGTGGTAAGAGATGTGGCCAGAGAGGCCAACAAGGCCGACATGACTTTGGAGTAGTTTGGATTTCATTTCAAGCCTTTTGTCAACCCCATTTCCATGCACAGAGTCCACATGTTACAAACACCACCCAGGGAGGCACGTGCAGCACACACGGGGAAACTGCGACTGCGCAGGGCTGTAAGGACCTACGTTCCCTTTCTTGGGAAGTGTTTGGGTCTCTTCTCGATAAGCTTCTGACTCTAGACTCAAGAGCCAGCGTTGGGACCCCAGGCCCGCCTCTGCCCTGGGCACGCCCCTCGCTCCCTCTTTCTGTGCCTCAGGGGTCTCGTCTGGACCACAGGAGGGTGACCGCGACCCGCCGCCGCCGCCGCCGCCGCTGCCGGAATTCGTGCCTCTGCACCCCCTGCGCCGCTCCGTCCCGGGCCCGTCAGTCACGCCCTTCCCAGCCCCCCATTGGTTGGACGCGCTGCCTTCCCGCCCCCTCCCACGGGCGGACCAATCACGCTCTCACGATGGACAGCCTGGCCGGCACCACCTCTCCATAGAGGGCGAGGCAGTTTCGCTTGCGGATTGGCCGGCCTCAGGGTCGGAGCCGAGCTTGGGGAGCGCCGATTGGGCGGCTCTGCCCGGGTGGGCGGGCCGCGGGACCGCGGGGGCGGGCCACGTGTCGGGGCAGGACAGCAAACGGTGCCCCGGCCTTGGAAAGGGGCGGAGGACCGGAGCGGCGTGAGTCCGGGCTCAGGGCGGTGAGTGTCCCCCAGGCTTCTCGAGCGGAGGCGCGAGCCAGGCCGGGACCCCGGCGCCTTCCGGGTACGGCCCCCGGGCCGCGGGGGGCCGACCGGCTCGCCTTGCAGGTGGGGAAACTGGGACTTTCCCAGGACCTCTGGGCCGAGGTGGCACAGCCGGGGCGCGGACTGCTGCCCAGGCCTCACAGGGCCCTCTGTGAGTCACGGGCCGAGTTTTGCCAGTGAGTTTGCGCGACCCTCTGGAGTGGGTGAGTTTGACCCCTGTATCTCTGAGGGCGCAGCTGAAGCTAAGACAGCGGGAAGCTTGCCCAGGGTCGCAAGTCCTGGCTGCAGGCGTGCCCGCCCCCAGGCCACCTGGGGGTCTAAGCCGCACCCTTCCCCGCTGATGCCCCTCCTCCTCCGGCCTTTGGCTCCCCGCAGCACGGAGCTCAGATCTCTGACTCTCTCCCACAGCATCCGTAAATCAGTCTTCAGCCCAGGTCTCTCCACATTCTCCCCGCCACCCCACCTCACACACACACACACACACACACACACACACACACACACACACTCCCCGCTCTCAGTATTTCATCTCTGCAAACCAGTTCCCCTCTCCAGGTGCCCAGTGAGTCCCTAGGACCTGCCACCCATGGACCAGAAGCCTGAAGATCTCCCTCCTTGCCCCTTCCCCCCAGCCAGTCACACGTGCCGCCTGAGTCTCCCTGTCCTGCCTCCTCTCTGTCCTCCCTGCCTGAACTGGAGCCCCGGCCTCACCCTTGTCCACCTGGATTCCAGCCCCAGTTTTCTCCCGGCGTCCACCCTTTTATCTGATATTTTGAAAACTTTTTATCAAAGTATACAGCATATGCAGGAAAAACAAAACATACGAATCACAAAGACCTCAAATAACTTTTCACACAGCCAGCACTGCGGTGTGAACAGCATCCGAATCCGGAAGTAGAACCCCCTGCCTCGTGGCCCCTTCTTCACCGCCCCCCAAGGATAACTATTATCATAAGTTTACTAACACAGACTGGTCTTGCTGGGTTCTCAGCCTATCTAAGTATTTTATTGTGTTTATCACGGACCAGACAACCTATCACACACTGTCCACACCTCAAAAGGAACAGAACAGTACTCGGTGAAAATAAAATCTCCTTCACACCCTGCCCCTCGATGACCCATTCCCCTGCCTGAAGCACCACCACGTATACTCACCGAGACCGCCAATATAGAGCAGCAAACTCACGCTTTCTCTTCTTTGGGCGGACACAGATGGGAGCATTGCTGTGTATACCTTCCGCTTCTTTTCACTGTTAACATCTCTTGGACACTTTTCCATATTGTCACTTAAAGAGCTTCCTCGTAATTTTCCCTGGCTGCAAAGAATTCTGTAGTATAGATATACCATAACTTACATAACCAGAACCCTAACCAGAGACGTCTACGTTTATTCCCATTCCTTTGCTCAGCGGAAAAGTCCCATAATGAATAACCGAAAGGTCTGGTAGGGAATAACCTTGTGTCATTTCACGTGGATGTCTGCAGGGTAAATACTTAGCCAGTTTTCTGGGTCACAGGTTCACGTAACTATAATTTTGAGAAACTGTCACCACATGTGTTTCCCTAGGGGCTGTTGCAAAATACGCTCCTACCAGCCTGAAGGGGAGATCAGACCCCTGTCCTGGGCTTTCAGCCGCGATAGCCCTGGTCTGACCCCGTCCCTCATGTCTCCTGAAGAGTTAAAGAGGGAGAGTGGGGAGAACAGCCCAGGTGGAGGGAACCATACACGGAAATGACTTGGCTGGAATGGTTCCAGGCGCCTTGCACCTTGCCTTGTGGGAGATTACATGTTAGTCCCGAGGAGGGAGAGCAGCCACGGAAGGGGGGCTGAGACAGGGGACGAACAGAGTCAACCTTGTGTTTTCAAAAAGATTGTTTTCTCTCTCTCTCTCCACTTCCTCGGGGAGACTTGTGCAGACTCTGCCAAGATAGATCAGATTCCCTCGAAATCCCAGCACTGATCGCAGTTGTAATTAATGTGATTAATTCATTCAGTGTGGTTTTGTTTTTGTGGGAGTTTCCATTCCTTTTTTTTTTTTTCCAGATAAAAGTCACAGAGCATAAAATTCCCCCTTGTAACCATCCATGAGTTTTTACACCTCAGATCTGCTGCCCGTAGGAAACATTCTCTATGGTAGATGTGTTCATTTGAAAGAGTCGCCGTGTGGACCCACCACCCAGCCTCTAGACGTCCCCCGTGGTGACCGACTCGCCCTCCGCTGGGTCTGAAGGGTCTCCCATGCCCCACGAGTAAATGAGTCAGCACACAGAGGGCATGAAAGGTGCAGACAGAAGCAGGGCCAGAACCCCTAGTTGTGCAGCAGCTTGGGGACCAGAGGACTCAAGCCTCCTGGGGACATGGGGTGGGACATGCCGGGACTCGCGGAGGCGGGGCCACTCTGACTTGGGAGGCTGGCTGGCTGTAGTCCTGCGCGACCCTGGGCAAGCCGTGGACCCCCGGGTCTCAGTGGCCTCCCCTGTAAGAGGGCAGGTGGCTCCAACAGCCCCACCCCTTCTTTTTTTTTCATGCTGAAGTATACGTCATGAAATTTACCATGTCAACCATTTTTAAGTGTGCCATTCATTAAGTGGCAGTTACAGATATTCATGATGGTGCATAACTGTGGCCACCATCTAGTTTGAGAATGTGCTCATCAGCCCAGACATCAACTCTTTATAAATGAGCCCCTCAGTCCTCACCGCCCCCGCCCCTGCCGATCTGCTCCCTGTCTCTGGATTTGATCCGTGTGGACGTTTCATATGAATGGGCTCCCACAGCACGTGGCGTCTGGTGACTGGCCTGGATCGTGGGCGCGGCGATTTCAGGGTTCTCCCGTGATGTAGCATGTAGCGATGCCTCCTTCTTTCTGCGGATGAATCCTCCTCCCCCATGCAGGTGCAGCGGCCTTTCCTTCTAGGACCCGCAGGCATGTGCAGCCTGTGCATTTCACACGAGAGCAAACTGAGTTTCAGAGGCTGCCTCGGCGGAGTCACACTTGAAGGACCTCGCTCAGGGCACGGCTCAGGCCACTGCCACTCCCCCCAGGCTCTTCTTTTCCTCAGGAATCACACTTGCTCCCTGTTCCGTGCTGTGGGCCCTTGGCGGTCACTTCTGTCCTCGGTTTCCCCCCACCGGAGGGCAGGGTGAGGACCACAGGTGGAGCATGCCATGTGGCAGGGCACAGGGTGACCTTGACGCTGCCATGTCTCCAGGAAGGAAAAGGCTACTCAGGGACCTCGGGAGAGTGCGGTTGGGAGCACCAGGTGGTCAGGGTCAGAGAAGGCTTCCCTGGGAAGGTGAGCTCCCCGCTGGGTAGGACATGTTAAGGGAGCAGAGAATTCCAGGCCCAGCGATCTGCAGACATGAAGGCCTGCAGGGGGAAGGGAGGAGGTTTCCAAAGGGCCCGTGTGGGACCCTCAAGGGTCTAAGTGCACGGACCTGGACGTGTAGTCGAAGCCCCTTCCCTGACTGGCCCCTCCCCCTCAGCACCTCTGCCCATCCCCAGGACATGGCTGCTGTGAGGCCCAGCCTGGGCCGGGTGCTCCCTGGGTCATCCATCCTCTTCCTGTGTGACATGCAGGAGAAGTTCCGCCATGTTGCCTACTTCCCCCAGATAGTCTCTGTGGCCGCCCGCATGCTCAAGGTACAGCCCCTCCTCCCTCAGACCCCGGAGTCCTGGCCCCCAGCCCCTCCTCCCTCAGACCCGGGAGTTCTGGCCCCCAGCCCCTCCTCCCTCAGACCTGGGAGTCCAGGCCCCCTGCCCCTCCTCCCTCAGACCCAGGGGTCCTGACCCCCGGCCCCTCCTCCCTCAGACCCGGGAGTCCAGGCCCCCTGCCCCTCCTCCCTCAGACCCGGGAGTCCAGGCCCCCTGCCCCTCCTCCCTCAGACCCGGGAGTCCTGGCCCCCGGCCCCTCCTCCCTCAGACCCGGGAGTCCTGGCCCCCGGCCCCTCCTCCCTCAGACCCGGGAGTCCTGGCCCCCGGCCCCTCCTCCCTCAGACCCGGGAGTCCTGGCCCCCGGCCCCTCCTCCCTCAGACCCCGGAGTCCAGGCCCCCGGCCCCTCCTCCCTTGAACCCAGGAGTCTGACCCCATGGACCCTCCCTTGGGCTCAGGCCTTTGTTCCTGCCCCCCGGCACAGGTGGCCAGGCTGCTGGGGGTACCCGCTGTGCTGACAGAGCAGTACCCAGAAGGCCTGGGCCGCACAGTGCCCGAGCTGGGGGCTGACGGCCTGCGGCCCCTGGCCAAAACCTGCTTCAGCATGGTGCCTGCAGTGCAGCAGGAGCTGGACACGCGGCCCCAGCTGCGCTCCGTGCTCCTCTGTGGCATTGAGACACAGGCCTGCATCTTGGTGAGACCCCTAACTGACCCTTGGGAGCTTGCATCCAAAAAAGGATGCCCTTCCCTGACCCGGAATCCTCTGTCCTGACCTGAGACCTTCATCCCTCCTCAGGCCCTCCCTCTACCTGGTGCTCCGTCCTGCCCTCAGACCCTGTTGTAACTTGGGGACCCCCTGCCCTGATCTGAGGCTCCCTTATCCACATCCCTGCTCCCCAGGCCCCCACCCCAGGCCCCTGTTCTGGTCTGGGGTTGGTCTTGACATTTCTCTGCCCCCAGAACACCACCTTGGACCTCCTGGAGCGGGGACTGCAGGTCCACGTGGTGGTGGATGCCTGTTCCTCCCGCAGGTGAGAGGGTCCTGCTGCGGGGTGGGTGCACGTGGGGCACTGACGGGGCGTCCAGGAGGAGTGGGATCCCTGTCGACCTTGCCAGGTGTCTGGGCATCCAGGCCGCGGCACCGACAACCTCCGTCCCCCGCGCAGCCAGGTGGACAGGCTGGTGGCACTGGCCCGGATGCGGCAGAGCGGCGCCTTCCTCTCCACCAGTGAGGGCCTCATTCTGCAGCTTGTGGGTGACGCCGCCCACCCCCAGTTTAAGGAGGTACTGCGACCCCCCCCCCGCCCCCCCGGCCTCCCTTCTCAGAGGTCCCAGCTCACAGTGGTTGACAGCCTACATCTGGGAGCACAGCAGGCTGCTGCCTCCTGGTGGGCTGAGTTCTAAGTCCCGTAGACACCATGAAGGGCAAGAGAAGCTGTCAGTGGCAGGAGGGCGAGGGCGGGAGAGAGAAAGAGAGAAAGTGGGGGAGGGGCTGGGGGTGTTGGTATGCAGAGGAGGGGTTGCGTGGGGTGGTGTGGGAGGCCTCCTGGCGAAAGGCGGGTTTAGAGTGAAGTGAGGGTGGGAGACAGACCGGCACAAACAGTCCGGCAGAGGCCCTGTAGGTGGGAGCCCCTGACCCCCACCTCCGTCAGGTGTGTGGCCACCGCCACCAGGTGGCCATGCTGGTGCCCGGGTGTGATTAGGTAGCCCCAGCTGAGTCACACCGCTGGCCCTTTGGACAAGGGGACGTGCTCAGCCCCCTGAGGGCATCTGCCCCTGTCCTGTTAGATCAGTTATGTGAGTGTTTGTTAAGCACCTACTATGGGCCAACCACTGGGGCAGGTCCTGGGGCAGCAGCAAAAGCCAGTCGGTTCAGTTCCACGTTGCTGGAAGGGAATGTTCAGAGTGTGTGAGAAATAAGATGGGGACTCACAACGGGGAGGCCCTTCCCCACGGGTGACCTTTGAGTGGGAGGAGCAGCCAGCCAGCCAGGAAATGCTCCTGGCCCAAGTAACAGCTAAGGCAAAAGGCTGGGGTGGACCTGAACTTGCCCTATTCAAAGAAGCGTAGCGGGCCACGAGGTGCGCTTGGTGAGTGTGGGGGAGAAGAGACAGAGGAGCCGGAGCCCTGTCTTCTCCAAGAGTTGAGGGGTTTGCTCAAGGGAGCTGGCCATAGTCAGATCTGCAGGTTGGTCCTGGGCGGCCCCTGGGTGCGAAGGGTGGCAGGAGGGAGGGAGACCAGTGGGGATGCAGATTGTGCTTATATTTCCGGAGGGGAGCCGGGTGTGGCCCGCTGATGGTGCAGGGCGGGGCTTTGGGAGAAGGCCGCCCCGGAGAGGCGGGTTGAGCATCTGTGCTCTTGTGGTCTACTGGTTGGGGGAACAACCAACAGCCTGTTGTGTAAGAGGCCCTTGGATCAGAGTCTGGAGTTGAGGGGCAAGGCAGGGGCTGGATTTGGGAGCTGAGGGATGGGGGAGGTGAGGGTCCCTAAACAGGAGCCGGGTGTGGCCCAGAAGCCCCAGGACGGGGCCTTACTGGCAGCAAGCCAGCAAGGTGGACCACGATGGCAGGTGGCTGTACCCGGCGGCTGTGGTGGAAGGGGGCCCGAGGAAGAGTTTGGAGAAGAGCGAGTGGTTGGTTTGGCCAGTTGCTGCCAGGAGGGCAAGGCGGATGAAAATGGAGAAGTGCCCCCCCAGACCCGCCGCAGTCATGGGGACCCCCGACTCTTCCCGAACCCTCCACTTCCCCCTACAGATCCAGAAGATCATCAAGGAGCCCGCGCCAGACAGCGGGCTGCTGGGCCTCTTCCAAGGCCAGAACCCCCTCTTCCGCTGAACTCCTCACCCCAAAGACCACCCTCCTGTCATCCGGACCTTGGGGGAATCACTTTGCCCCCATCCTTGGAATCCCAAGAGTGGTGCAGTCCACCGGGAGTGCCACCCCCTCGGGAGGGGAGGTGGTGAGCTGCCGCGCCATTGGGCCAAAGCTCCCGGAAATGCAAATGAGCCTCCTGGAAGCTGGGTGGCAGTTGGCTGAGCAGAGCCGGGGGCGGGGCTCGGCCCCGGGCCACTTCAAGAGGCGGGAAGGGGAGGGGGAGGGAGTGTCACAGGCTGTGGGACCGGGACTTACCGAATAAACATTGATGTGGCTGTGGGCCGAACCATTCTTGGATTTGGGGGGTATCCTGGGGGCGAGTGGGGGCTGCGGGTGGGGGGAAGAGGGGTCCCAGCAGGTGGGGAGGGGGAGGTGCCTCTCCCCTGCACCCAGCCGGCGCGAGGCAGAGGCGAGGCTGGCCCCAGCCACATCTGCACCGAAGCCGGGGCGCATCTGCGGACAGGAGCTGCCGCGGGTCGCCCGCCGCGCACGCTGCCAGCCGCCCCCCGCCGGCGCGCACACGCCCAGCCGGTTGGCTCGCAGACACGCGCTCGCTCTGCCTCCCTGGCCGGCCCCCCACGCCGCCGCCCCCGACTCCCCAAGGGTCCCGACTCCGGAAAGTGAGGTGAGCGCGACCGCACCCCGGTGCGGAGGGGGAAACTGAGGCACGGGGACATGGGGACGGGGAGGAAGGAAGCAGCAGGCATGCGGGTGAACGGATGAATGGCTGGGAAGGACAGACCGCTTCCTCTGAATGCTTTCTGCTCCCCTAAGACGCAGGAGTCTGGGGATCCACATGGGGGCTCCCAGAATTCTGCAGCCCCCTTGGAGATCCGGGAGTCGGGACTCCGCGGAGCCCCCCAGTCAAGGCCCCCCAACCCCTTGAGATTCACAGCTCTTGTCCCCCACCCCCACCTCCAACCTCGGGACCTACGAAGGCAACCTCTGAATTCCCCAGAGACCCAGGCGTCAGCGCCCTCACCAGCCCGCCCCCCACTGGGGAATCAGAGTCGCCCCCCACTCCCACCCCCGCCAACCCTGGAATCCTAGACCCCTCCCAGAAGGCCCCGTCCCGCAACCTGGCGTCAGAGCGCCCAGCACCCCCTCTCCCTGGGGACCGAGGAGTCCCCTCCTCCCCGCTCCTCCAGGAGCCCCTGGTACCAGGCGTCGGCGCCCCCGGCCCCCGCCTTCCGGATCCAGGTGTCCCCCCTCCTCACCCCCCAGCCTGATGCTTCGCGTCTCGGAGGCCGCGCTCGCGTCGCCATGGCAACAGGAGTCTATTTTGCGCTGGGAACACACAGCTCCCGCTGCAGCGCCCCCCCACCCCGCCCCTCCAACCTGGGCCTGAGTGAGAGTAGGGGCACGGGGAGAGAGACTGGGGTCCGGGGTGGGGCGGGGGCAGGCGACACGGAGACGCTCAGAAGGACAGAGATCTGTAGAAAGCAAACCTGGGAAAGAGACATAGAGACAAAGTCAGAGAGGCAGAGAAAGACGGGGATGCGGGGGGCGGGGGGAGACGCAGAGACAGGCTGTAGAGACAGAGACGGACGGGGCAAGGGAAGAAGGGAAATGCAGGCACACAGAAAACAGACTCGGAGAACGGGACAGCGCGTGGGGAAGGGGGGCGTGTGACAGAGACTCAGGACAGAGAAGCGATGAGACATGTAGAGACCCAGGGCCGACCCTGTTGGAGAGGAAAGGCCGCTGGCTGGCAGGCGCGAGGCGGGTCCGGAAGGAGGGTGAACACGGAGACCAGAGATACCCAGAGTCAGAGAGGTACCAGAGACGGGAAGACCCAGGGACCCAGCCAGCTGCCTGCCGGGAGCGTGTCCAGGGAGGGTCCCTGTCCCTGCGTCCTCTCCGCCTGAGTGCCCGGGACTGAGATCCCCACCCCCCTTCCGGACTCCTCCCCTTGCCCCTCCGCTCTGCTCCCCCCGCCCCAGCGCCTGGTCTTGAACCCACACCCTCTCCTCTTGCCTGCGTTCCACATCCCTACCTCAGATCGCCCCTCACCTCAACCCCAGATATTCCTAGGAGTGTCTGGTGCCTTTGCACGCCCCCCCCCCCGACCCTGCGTGCCCCGAGCCTCTCTGTCTCCATACCCGCGTGCACCCTCTCCCACCCCCAGCTCCCCAGCTCAGGACTTCTGACTTTCGGGGTCTCACCCTTCTATGGGCTTCTGTTCTCTCTCTCTTGGTTTCTTGATCTCAGAACCCCACTTCTGAGTCTTTGGCCCTCCTGTGAGTATCTGTCTACCCCCCTCACTGCCCCTCACTCTAGGTCTCTGTCCTCCTCCGGGGTCTCCCCCTACTCTCTGGATCTCTGTGCTCCTTTCTCTATGTGTGTGTCTCTGTTTCCCTCTCCCTGGGTCTCCCTCCTCTGGCTGCGCCTTTCCCTCCACCAAGCTCCCGAGGCTGTCTCCCTGTGCCTCCCCCGCCTGCTCCGTCTCTCGCTCTGCTGCCATCATCGCAGAAGGCCACTCACCTGGCCCCGTCCCCAGCTGGCCGCGTCTGGAGGGCGCAGGGGCAGGGGGTGGGGGGCGCAGCGCTGTGCAGGCACCCTGAGGGCCCCCAGGGCCCAAGGACCGAGGGGAGCCTGCTCTGGAAACCCTTCTCTAGTTGCTTCCCCGGATCTCTGTCTGTACGTGTCTCGGGTCCTGCGAAGGGGCACAGCCAGACCTCTGCCCTGAGCCGCTGAGCGCGCATGGGGCGGGAGGGAGGAGACTGGGGTGCAGGGAGGGAGGACATTGGGGTGAAGGCCCCTTTTCTCTCCATCTGCGGGGAGGAAAGTGCCTGTGTGTGTAAGGGGTGAGGGAGGGGCTGTGTCTGCGTGGGGGGTTGTCGCATGCCTGCTTCCAGACTCTACTGCCGGGTGAGGGTGTGTTTGCACACGTGTGTGTGCCCGTGAGGTTGCATGGCTGTGGCCTGTGAGGTGCGTGGTTGTGTGTCCACGCAGAGCTGGCCTGGGCAGGTCCCTGGGTGTATTCGGGAGCTATGTGTGGCCCCAGGGCGTCCCAGCATCCGAGACTGTTCTGGGCGGAAGCACCCAGGAGCGCACGGCTGTGTGTGCACGCGGAGCTGTGTGTGTGTGCTGGGAGGGGCTACAGGTGCGCCACCAGGATGACATCGGGTGTCCTGTGTGCTCTGTCACTGTGTGTATAGAATGTTGTGTGTGTGTTTTGTGCAAGGGAAGAATCGGCCCCCCTGTACCCCTGAGTCTGAGTCTGGACAGGCTACTGTGTCCCTAGGTGTGTGATCACTTTCCTTCAGGAGGCACAAGGCGGGGGCAGGGGGCTGTGGGTTCCTCCACTAGCAGAGGTGGTGTGTGTGTGTGTGTGTGCGGCGTCCGGGTGCATTGCTGGGTCTGAGGGGATGTATGCTACGCCCCTCCCGCAGCCCCAGAGTTGTCAGTGGCCTGGAGCTGTGCCTCCCCGGCCACGTGCATGGTATGCAGTTGGAGGAGATGATGAGACTCTGTTAGCAGAGGGAAGAATTGTGACCGTGGAGCTCAGCCAGAGGCTCGGCACAGACGGGGACTGAGTGAGCAAACCGCTAGGCCGTTAGGCGCCTTTATGCAAATGAGACAAAGGTACCCCCTGGTCCAGTATAGATCCCCTGCAGCTATGGGTTGGCAGGCAGATGGCACCCTCGTGTGAGTTCTAAAGGGTGCACCTTCCCCCAGATGGATGCAGCCCCACCACCATGCCCTAAGGAAGAGAGCCTGGCTGGATTCCAGCCTCTAAACCAGGACTCCTTGTGCAGTGCACAACCTGCCCAACCGTATGTGGCAGCCCTCAGTGAATGAAGAAATCCACATCGCTGCATGCATGTGGATTCACTGATGAAAGAGGTGTGTCTGTATGCATGTCAACCCACATTTGTCTGCATGGGATAGAGGTGTCCATGCTCTATAGGTGGCAATGCCCTGGGCCCCGAGTTCAAAGCCCAGCTCCAGTGCTTGGGCACTGTAAGCTTAGGCAAATGATGGGACCTCTTGGAACCTCAGTGTTTTCGTCTGAAATGTGAGGGGGAGGAGAGGGAGGGGAGAGAGAGACGACCCACCTCTCACACATCTTTCAACATTCATCCATGCCATAAATATTTATGGAGCACCTGGTGTGCACACACTGATGCTGGGTGCTGTGGGCACAACTGAGAGCAAGATAGACCAAAAAAAAAGTCTGCCTTTATGGAATTTATGGTCTAGAGGGGGTGACCAACCACAAGTCGCTACACGTACAATGTGGCAAGTAGAGACGGCGGCCATAGCTAGACAGAAAGCAGGTCCGGGGACCAGAGTGGCTGGAGGTGCTGCTTTAGACAGGCCAGGGAGGAACAGAGAAAACATGTGAAGGGCACCTGAAGGAAGGAAGGGGGTGGGCCAGACCGATATCTGCAACAAGGGGCAGGGATGGGGGTCCCAGGTGAAAGAACAGCAAATGCAAAGGCAGGAAGAAGGGACCTTCTTGGACATGGGACCTGGAAAGGCATGAAGAGACAGGGAGAGGGAGAAGGGTGTGCATCTTATTCTAGGTGTGACAGGAAGACACTGGGGGGTTTCGACAGGGTGGTGCTTGATGCCATCTGACCATGCTGGCGGTTTTTTCTTTCTTAAAATCATGGTAAGATACACATAGCATAAAGTTTACTATTTTAACCATTTTCTTAAATGTTTATGTATTGATCTTGAGAGAGAGAGAGAGAGAGAGAGAGAATCCCAAGCCGGCCTCAAGCTGTCAGCACACAGCCCCACTCGGGGTTTGAGCTCATGAACCATGAGATCATGACCTGAGCTGAAATCAAGAGTTGGACTGAGCCACCCAGGCGCCTGATATTTTTAAAACTATTTTTAAGTATCCTGTTCAATGATACTGAGGACATTGGTAACGTGGTGCCACCGTCGCCACTAATTCCAAACATTTCCGTCACCCCAAAGCAGCCATCCCCATTCTCCCATTCTTCCCCAGCTCCAGGCAACCGCTAACCAGATTTTCTGGCCTTATAGATTTGACTCCTGTGGACATTTCGTGTAAATGGGATCAGACAGCACACGGCCATTTGTGTCTGGCTTCTTTCGTGTGATGTTTCTGAGGTTCACCCATGATATAAGGGTATCAGCACTCCTTTCCTCGCTAAGGCCGAACATTATTTCACTGTCTGGATAGACCGCGCTGTGCCGGTCAGTTCCTCTGTTGGTGAATGTCTGGGCCGTCTCTGCATGCGGGATGTTATGAAGAGTGCTGCTATGAACACTCGTGTGTAAGTTTCCATGTGGATGTGCGTTTTCAGGTTTTGGGCAGAGACCGAGGCGTGGAATTGCCAGGTCATGTGATAACTCTCTGTTTCACTTTCGAGGAGCCACCGAACAGTTTTGCACGGTGTGGGCTAAGCCGCTTCTAAGGTGCCTATTAAGCACAGAGTGAGATATTCTAGATATTCTAGCCCAGAGTTCAAGGGAGGGGCCAGACCAGGAACTAAAAGGAAGGCCGAGGCCCTGTGCGGGAGCGGGCGAGCTGACTGAGGCGTGGGGAGCCCCAGGTCCCGTGACCCGCTCCCCATCCCAGCCCCTACTACTTCTGCTGATAATGGTGTAAATGAAGGAGAGAGATAAGTCTTGGGGTCCCCAAACACACACATCCCCAGTGGAAGGGAGCAAATAAAAATAATACGTAATGATGCCCATTCAGCGAGTCCTATCCACCCTCCCACCCTCTTTTAAATTTATTTTTTTTATGATTATTTATTTTTGAGAGTGAAAGAGACAGGACATGAGCAGGCGAGGGGCAGAGAGGGAGGGAGACACAGCATCTGAAGCAGGCTCCAGGCTCTGAGCACAGAGCCTGACATGGGGCTCGAACTCACAAACCGTGAGATCATGACCTGAGCCGAAGTCGGACGCTTAACCCACTGAGCCACCCGGGCGCCCCTGCCCTCCCATTCTCTTATGCTGCTTTCATTTGGTCATGACTTTCTGCAAAATTTCTTCCGATTTCTTCATAACAGTTTTCAACAAGCAGCACGCTGGTTATGTCTGTGCGCCCAGCCCTCTCCTGCCCCTGGGATGCAAGCCCCGTGAAGGCGGGAACACTGTGCCTTAGTCGCCGCCGCACCCTCGGGGCTCAGGACATGCTGTGGAAGCACCTGTCCTGCTGCCGCCCGACCGGCCCCTCACTCTGCTGTCTCCTCCATGGCCCGGTCCCTGGCTGCCCCCCAAATACCAGCTGCAGTGTGCACAGTGCGCAGCACTGCAACAGGCCAGGCTGCTCTGAGCTCCCTACAAAGATCAACCCGGCTCATCCATCTAACCCCCCCCATAGTGATACTCACTCCCCTTTTACACATGGGGCAACTGAGGCCCGAGGAAACTCAGGTAAAAGCCTGTGCAGTGCCAGGCGGCTGACACATGATCAGCTCTGCCACCCTGCATCGCCTGTCGTCCTGAGATGCTTCAGATCTGCAACTGCGTGTGCGTGCGTGTGTACGTGTGCAAGACAGAGACAGAGAGACAGAGGGGGAGGGTGGAGGACGGAGAGGGGGAGAGAGGAGTTTGAGACCCCTGGATTATAGACCTAAATAAAGGGGAGAGATGAGCCTTTGCAGGCAACCGAACCAGGCGGGTCTAAGTCAGCAGTTCTCGACCTGGGCAACGTGCTCCCAGGGGGACACTTGGCACTGCCTGGTGTCACCATGCAGAGAGTGCGAATTCTCCCGGCACCTAGTGCCACTGCTGGACGTGCGACAGCAGGGAGGACGGGCCAACACGAGCGGCGCCAGGCTGAGGAGCCTGAGCACCTCCGGCCACGTGCCGGCTCTGCAAACTTAAGTTCTCAACTCCAATCTCTCTCCTCTCTCTCCCTCCCCCCCCCCACACCTCGTCCTCCCTCCTTCCCGCCTCCCCCGCTCCTCCCGTCCCGCCCACCGCACACCTGTGCCCCCCACTCCCTCCTGCATCCGCCCCGCCCCGCCCCGCCTGCTCCCCCCCTCCACGCCCCCACGGCCGCCCGCGGCCCTCACGCTTCCGCTCTCACGCTCCCTCCCCCCTCCCCCTCGCCCCCTCCCCTTTCCCTCCCCCCCCCTCGCCCGCCCGCCCC